GTATTGCTTGACTGTTTAGCGACGCCCACACGTGATGCTGAAATGTCGGGACGTTAAATAAACTGACATATCAAGGATTTTATGCGAATTTCTTTCAAATTTGTTTGATCTATTGTGTTTGCAAGGAAGTATCCTGAAAACTGGAGTGTTGCAAATGTTCAAGTTTGATTAGTGTTAGCTTAGACTAATTTCCAGTAATCTAACTTTAATTTTCAATTAACTTAATGTTTGGTTTTTACAATTCATTAGCATCTCAAATACAAATAAACTGCCACACCTTAGTCTTAGCATCCTTAATCAATAAGGCTCCTCATCTTGGTCTAGGAGTGTCAGTTTTCGGAACAAAGTTGTTGGTCTCAGAGCGAAGCAAGCAAATCTCGCGACATCTAAGGTTCATCAAATAGAACAAGAAATCCTTTTAGCGAACGAAAAGAATGGAAGGGTCATCGAAAGAATGACCACCAGATGACGCGCTATTGGTCAAAGCTACTAAAAAACCGAATATCGGAAGCAAGAAGAACTAAATTTCAGGTTGTGAAATCATGTAATCCGACATTAGCCTATGCGCCAAAACTTAGCTTTGTGTGGACTTGCGCATGTACGGTACTGGAACTACTTATGTTGATATTAAACAGTGTCACCGTGGTCAAGCTATTTCACAGGATCAAATTTGGTCAGGAGCCGTTGAATTTATTAACTTACCCATTTTTGAGAGCGGAGGATATTACTTTAATCGGTTAACATCATTTTGGCCAACCATCGTGAGCTTTAGGGGGAGATCGATGAATCTACTGACGGACTTAGAAGATTTTTTCATGAGGAAAAAGTGTTTTCGAAAGACTTGCTGAAGAGATAATGACGCACTCTCAGTACATTCTCGAAAATTGTACTAGAAGTTTTTGTTTGAATATATAAATTACCAAGATCCAAGACCACCCGTCCAAACGCTATTTTTGGTACCCGTATTAATTATGCTACTGGAAGGCTTCTACACGTTAAGCGCAGCTGTGCCAGATTCTCCTATCCTTGACTGCAGTCACCTGTTACACGTACGTGCATCGTTCCTTTAAGGCTTGCTGAAGCAATCGTTTGCTTTTTCGAGATACTGTAACTAAAGAGTACAGCCCAACGTTGTCGGTAGGCCGAGCAAAATGCCTTGCCCATCAGGTTTTATTCTTTGCTTATTCACAATAACATCCTGCTGCTGCTCGTTTAAAGACTCTTGAAGGGACACGGAAGTATCCTTCGATCCATCGCTGTCTCATCACGGACAAAACTCGCTCTTCCACTTTCGTCAGTAACCATGTTTCGCATCCGAACGTCACTGTCTTCAGCATAGTTGTACTGAAGAAGTCGCGCTATGTCCCTATGGCTCTGCATGCCAAGAAGTATTAATAAGTGGGATTTGATTTAGACCACTTCGTGACTGTTGAGAATTTTTACCGATATTTCATGAGTTTTGGTAATCAGAATGATTTTTCAACTAACTGCGAGGATGACTTCGAAATCGCGAATTTTCTAGGTAAATTTGAGAAGCGGACCGTTTTTCACAAGAGGCACAAAATTACGCTAACTCTTACGTTGATGACCGCTCTCTACTCGATGTCCATGGTCACAGCCAATTTAGCCATATTTCTCACCAGAAATT